GGAAAAGGGAGTAGTTAGGTACCTGCGCTTTGGCCCACATGAAATGGCGGTGGCGAGCTTGCGTCTCGCACACAACATGGCTGCCGCCCTGCCCCCGCCAAGAAACAGACATTAGATATGGGAAAATCCCTTATGGCGAAAATGCACCGTAATATGGCCCAACAAGTGGACTGTTCAGCCACATATGTCATAGATCAATTTACCATTAACAAATATAATCTGATTAACGGTCCCGCCTTTCAGCCCTTTTTAGGTTACTTTGCTGCTACTTGACCTCTGCCACTCAGGATTTCAGCATCTCTATTGAGACTAAGGGTTCCATTTCAAGGATACCATTTCCTATCTTCACACATTCCCTACAGAAGATAGTCACTAGAGCACTTTTCAAAAATGGTGATGCTACGTTCCCAATGTATTTCTCAATGCAATGACAAAGGGATGTCCTCGGGACCTTCACAGAGGAAAATAATTATAGGAGGGAGGCCAATTCACACATGATAAATCCATTCCTACCTCCCAATTCTCTAAGTTATTACATTTCTTTTCTTTATATAATACCAAGGAATTTCTGATCTTTCTACTTCCTTTAGTGTGTGTCACTGTGGAGTCTAGGTTTTAATCAACAAATTGAGCAAACTGTTAGAAACACTCACAGCTGCTCAAACCAGCACATTTAATCCAGAATCTCTGGTAAGAGAACCCATAACAAAAAATTCAGGCCAATCTAAAATTATACATCTCACTCCTTGGGCTAGCACCTCCAGAATTTATTCCCACATATATTCCCCCACTCCTTTTGTTGTATAAGTTAGCAAAACTATTTTTGCAATTCTCTTCTCCCACTTATGACTTTGCAACTGGTTCTCTGGTATATGCTGGAATGGACTCTAATTGCCTAGAGGCAATGAGGAAAATCAGTCCCGTCCCTCCTCCCCCGCAAGTAACTATTTCTGGCAATATCATCACAGGGTCTTCAAGCAAGTCAGGAATAGCTTCATCTCAAAGGGATGAAGCTAGCTACTTCTGCTAGCAAGACAAACAGTGAGTTTGGAAGTTTGATATTCTTAAAGTTGTCTAAATCCTCCCAAAAGTTGCCATTCCAATTCTCAGTTCTTTTTTCTTTTGTAATCAATATTTGCACATTCATGTAAAAGACCTGGCAAGGCTGTGAACCCCACCTGCAATGCAGGTTAGCACTTTGCAGGATCAGATCTATGTCTGATTTTCGACTATATCAACCCTTTGACAACAGGTAAGGGATCCCTTTGGGTCAGTCACAGAAACTCCCCAGATACTGGATCATGCCTTGAGATGTGAATTTAAAATATTGAGCTATTATTTTCTTTCTGTAAGCCATTCAGTTCAGTTAGAAAAAAATCAGCCTAGCCTTAGGATGGCTATGTATTCCAATTTGCCTGGCACCATTCTGGTTTTGTTTTCTCTTTTGGAATTGTTAATGATACTCCCTTTGACTTTCCAAAGTGTCCAATAAATTATGTTTACCTTTTATGTACCTGTAGCCATTTATACTACCAATTGATACTCAAGGCAATCACAATGAAAATCTGTTTCGTTACTAAATGGCATGGGCTATCAGTTTACCATTCTCTAATGCTAACAGAGTTTCCACTGGTTTGAAGCCAAATGAAATAAGATAATTAATCCTAGATTATTTTCTTGAGAGTCTGTTCCCTGCAATCATCTTGGTACTAACAGCTGCATAAGTCAGTATTCTTAGTTGCAGACTACAGAATCTACTCCAGATATTAAAGCAAAAAGGAATTTACTATAAAATACTGGAATCCTACAGAATTCTGAGAAGGTTGTAACCAAACCTATATTCACAGCCAAGAATAGTGCAGCAGGAAGAAATGCCTAACATGACACTGTACTATCAAAAACTCACTGTCATTATCATCCCATTTGCCACCTAAGATGAGGCTAGACAGAAGACCATCACAACAGCTGACCAGGAGATTCCATTTCTCCATGCATGACCCACCACCCCACATTGTTCCCATCTGCATTCTAAGTTTTGTGTGGGGGATCTTCTTAGTAGAACCTAGAGTAGAACCTAGGTCATGTACAGAACCCTAGTAAGGAAAATGCAATGTACTTTTTACATTTAAGATCTCTTTAACACAGAAGGCATATTAGAGAAGCCTTGGTGAGGATGGAGAGTGAACCAATCTTCACTGTCTGTCAAGAACTGAAAAGGATTACGGGAGAATCCATATGGAAAAAAGTGGTGGTAAAAACATAGGTTATGGCTTCAGAATTTTTCTGAAGGAAGAGTTTAAGAGACACTATCTCATTGGAAGGGGAATTAAGGGATTTATCTTGAAGCTGTGTTTGCATAGCAAGCACTTTCTCTTACTTAGCTCAATTGTTTATTTCAAGTGTACCTAGGAGAGCTTATGGGTGTCTAAATCAGACGAATGAGACAAGCCTTGGTAATGCAACCAGATAGGAAAGGTGAGATACAGCCAAGACTATCACCCCTACTACAGATTGACCTGAGCTGCTTCTGAGTAGCAAAGTAAATGACAAGAAGGCCTTTAAGTAAAAGCTCTACCATATTGATAGGCATCTTCCCTAAACAGTTCTGTAAAAGAGAAAAAAAGGGCTATTTTTTAAAACAAAATTGGGACATAACCTCTGAAAACTGCACATCATGTTACAAAATAGTTTGAATTCTGAACTTCCGGACAACCCTGGGTTTATTATTTCCATACATATCACATCCGAACTGGCACAGGCATGGAGGACTAAGCATACTTTCCTTTCTCTATATTGCATCATTCTCTCTCTCTCTCTCTTTTTTTTTTTTTTTTTTTTTTTTTTTTTTTTTTTTTTTTTTGTCTCTCTAACTTGAAACATCCCTTTACTTTTACTTTCAAGGTAGCTTTGGGGCAACAGTCATGTTTATCTCTGTGCGATCCCTGAGATACCTTTCTCATTGCCCCAAGTCTATCTAAGTAGGCCAGTGAATGCTTCAAAAATGATCCATTCTATATTTCCTTTTTCTTTTTTGAATCAAGCTATTTGGTGAAAACCTCTAATTCACAAGTCAAAGGTGTTTATCTCTGTGCGATCCCTGAGATACCTTTCTCATTGCCCCAAGTCTATCTAAGTAGGCCAGTGAATGCTTCAAAAATGATCCATTCTGTATTTCCTTTTTCTTTTTTGAATCAAGCTATTTGGTGAAAACCTCTAATTCACAAGTCAAAGAGCACAGAACAGAAGCAACTCCTCTCGGAGCCCACTGTGGATGTCGTGAGGGCGAGGGAGGCCTGTGCCACTAGACATAAATGTCGCCCATCTGCTGGCTTCTCAGTTGGTGGCATTCCACGCCCTGGCCCCTCAGCAGCTCCTTCTCCTCTGCTGCGTCCCGCGCTCTCAACTGTGGGAAGTGGGCAGGGGAGGCCATGAAGTCGTAGTGCCGGTCCAGGTACCGCAGGTAGATGAGCATGTGCAGGGCGTAGGCCAGCACCAGTAACAGGACCAGCGACATCGCCAGGCCGATCAGAACTGCTGGCGAGGAGGAAGCAGCACAGTCTCGGGCCTTGGCAAACTGTCTAACAATAATTACCAATTAATCTAAAACTTTGAGCATTATTTATTCAGTATCAGTGCACTCTTAACTTGAAAATATTTATATTTAAAAGTATGGTTGTAAAGCCATTCCATGATGTTTTAAAGTGGAAAAAAATTTGAATAAAAATAAATAGAAAGAAAGAAAGAAAGAAAGAAAGAAAGAAAGAAAGAAAGAAAGAAAGAAAGAGCACAGAACAGAAGCAACTCCTCTCGGAGCCCACTGTGGATGTCGTGAGGGCGAGGGAGGCCTGTGCCACTAGACATAAATGTCGCCCATCTGCTGGCTTCTCAGTTGGTGGCATTCCACGCCCTGGCCCCTCAGCAGCTCCTTCTCCTCTGCTGCGTCCCGCGCTCTCAACTGTGGGAAGTGGGCAGGGGAGGCCATGAAGTCGTAGTGCCGGTCCAGGTACCGCAGGTAGATGAGCATGTGCAGGGCGTAGGCCAGCACCAGTAACAGGACCAGCGACATCGCCAGGCCGATCAGAACTGCTGGCGAGGAGGAAGCAGCACAGTCTCGGGCCTTGGCAAACTGTCTCCCCTTGATGGCAAAGCCTTGGATCTGTCAGAAGAAGGAAAAGAGAGGAAGTAACATGTTCCTTCTCTCCTAAGATCTACTTCCCAGTTGGGTTGGTGGTTTGGGGGGCTCTGATTAGCCAAATTTAATATACTGTCACTATATTTGCTGAAAAAATTTAAACACAATCCAATAAATGTGACTGTGCTTATAGGAACAGTGAAACTTAATTTTAAATCAGGACTGACCCAGAAACTCTGGGATGTATGATTGTCATAATTAAGAGGCTCATAAAATTCAAGGCTCTGAAATAAAACTTCTTTTAATCCATTCCTTAGGAATATGTTAGTTCATGTAAAGCCACACTGCTGTGGTGCTTCTAAAATTCAAAGCACACTCAATTTTGTAACTGTTAGTATAAATTTCACAAAGACTTTAAGTCTCAGTTCTTCTGCCTTTGATTCTATTGACAGAAATTAGACAGGAAGAGTCTTATAAGGGAGGATATCATGATTTTCAATGAGGTATAACATAAACAATAAATTTGAACACTTACTGAAGGTTTTTTATGTGTCAGACACTGACTTAACTCATTTTGTACTTGCAAGAGCCAATGAGTAAGTTACTATGTTATCCCTGTTTTATGAAGAAACTGAGGCACAGAAAAGTTAACTTGCCCAAAGTCACACAACAGTATGTGTTGTGAAGATATAATTCATACCCGGGCAGTCTGTCTTCAGACTCAGACTCAGTTCATGACTCTGTAGCTCCTAGTGTCTCTGTCTCTTCTGCCTCCCATTACTACCTTTCTCTCTTTATTGGTTGTACCATAGAAACTTAGTACTATTTTTGGAAGAGCTGTATACCGGCCCTTCCTGGCATCCTGCCCAGAGAATAAAAGAAAACATTTCTCGTATGTACAAACAAAGTGGTTTAATTATTCAGAAATAGAAGAGGTTCAAATTAACAACTGGTCCTGATATCTAAATACTGTCAAAATGAAAGAAACAGGACAACAGAGCAACTACTCTAACACAGGAGTGGTCATTTGTGGAAGGCAGCCCCCCGTTTAGCTGGCTTTTAGAATATAACCCTACAGAGTCATCTCATTCAGTAACTTACTTGATTTTTAAAGGATACATCAGAAAATTGAATTATGCATGAGTGCTTTACAGAGAATTCATTTTTATGGCTTATGCAGGTATTTTAGCATTTTCCTGCACTAAAATTATTCTGGCCACCAATGATGGCATAGATCTTGGGGGCCTTGCTCGCCCAATTGTCTGTGCTCCAGACTAAACCCAAAGCAACTTCGGAAGGAGATTCGTGGCACAGCTTCTGGAATCCTTGGCCTGCCCCTCCTATGTAGAGGCAGAGTAGGCTTCTCTTCAGATTAGTGCCTGATAAGTCAAGCTCCTCAAAGACAAAAGATGATTCCATTTGATTCTGCAAGTCCAGTCAAAGAGAATGCCCTCAGATTGCCACTTAATTCTTAGCACTTGGATAAGAAAACTATGTGTGGAGAGTGCCTGAAGGATATGTTGTCCACCCATGTTCTGAACTAGTGGTTAAAAACATGCTGCATCTAGCCCACTGGTAAGTTTGGTTTAGCCCAAACTCAGTTCTGTAAATCCTGAAAATTTCCCATAAGAATCCAGACCTACAGCTTCTTTTGAAAATTCAGAAGATTCGGCAGCACCAGCCTACAAAGCAAAAATTAGCCAGAGTTGAATTTTTTTAAATGCCTCTTGTGATGCTGGCTACACTTTGCCACAGTCCCCAGTTGGCACACCTCACCTCCTCTACCCAAGGCATCTGTTTGCCATGCATGCAACATTATTCCTTACTGTATTCATAGAATAAGCCAGACCAACAAAGCTGCATATGTAGAAATAACCTTTTGTATATAGAGCTTAACCACCATCACCACCACAACCTCTCCCCCGGATTGAGCTTGCATTCTGACATCTGTTTACCTTAAAGGTGTTTTAAGAAGGCCCATCTGTGATACCCAATGTGGTGTTCACTGTAAGGATGCTATTGAGAATGTGCACATTGCACAACCCCAGGGATGAATGTACTCCTCACAGACAAATTTCCCGTAGTCTTAGGGACCCTGTGAACATGTAATGAGTGCTTCTCTCTTTTGGCTGCTCCAAAGCTTCAGAGCCAAATTACTGTACCGCCTCCAGCCAGTGCACACAGATGACCCTGTGGTTTTGTTTACTGACCTCACTGGTGGCTCTAACTGATCTTTTCTTCCTTTGTTTTTCTTCACCCCCTTGTCTTTGCCCATTTTTTCATTTACTTTTTTATTGTAAGATATACATAATATAAAATTGACCATCCTAATCATTGTAGGTGTACAGTTGAGTGGTATTAAGTACGTTCACACTGCTATGCTGCCATCAGTGCCATCCATCTCTAGAACTCTTTTCATCTTGCAAAACTGAAACTGCGTACCCATTAAACACGAACTCCCAATTTCCTCTCTCCCCTCAGCCTCTGGCAACTACTACTCTACTTCTGCCTCTGAGTCTGACTACTCTAAGTACTTTGTATAAGTGGAATCATACAATATCTGTCCTTTTGTGTCTGGTTTATGTCACTTAGAGTAATGTCTTCAAGGTTCATTCATATTGTAGCATGTATCCAGATTTCCTTCCTCTTTAAAGCTAAATAGTATTCTGTTGTATGTACATATTTGATTTTGTTTATCCATTCAACCATTGATAGACATCTGGGTTCTTTCTACCTTTTGGCTATTGTAAATAATGCTGCTATGAACATGGGTGTACAGATATTTGTTCTAGTCCCTGCTTTCAATTATTTGGGGAATGTATCCAGAAGCAGAATTACTGAATCACTTGGTAATTCTATGTTTAATTTTTTGAAGAACCATCAAACAGTTTTCCACAGCATTGCACCATTTTACATTCTCACCAGCAATGCACAAGGGTTCTAATTTCTCCACATCCCTGCCAATACTTGTTATTTTCTGTCCGTTTGTTGTTGCTTTTAATAATAGCCATCCTAATGGGTGTGAAGTGGTTTGCCCATTTTTTTGTTATTTTTTCTTATACTATTTCTATAAGTCACCTGAAGTCATTTCTGGAACAATGTAGAGATATAAATCAACTATATCCCCTGTTCTAATAAGGCGAGATTATGTGCGAATTATGTGTTTTTATTATCGACTCCTCACTGCCCTTTCTGCTTGCACTCTTTTTTTAAAGGGCAAGGTAAATATACATATGTACATAAACACACAGCAAATATATATTATATATATTTATAACATTTAAATATTATATACACATATATATAAATGTATCCTGGGAGCCAAACAGTCCAGAATTCAAATTCTGCCTCTACCATTTACAAATTATATCATTTTGAAAAATTATGTAATGGTTAGAGCTTCTGCCACCTCATTTGTAAAACAGGGATTATAACAGCTTTCTGGCAGCAGTATGATAAGTTTTGGAAATGACTATTTAAAATAACTAAAATAGTGCCTACACACAGAGGGAATTCATAAGTACTAGCTATTGTTAATCCATGCCTAACTCAGTCCTGGATGTTTTCACAAATATTAGGCTATGTATTCTTCACATTCATAAAGATAGATCAGAAATAGAGAGAGGTTAAGTAACTTGCTTACGTAGCTGAACAGTAAATTAAAACCAGATCTGTCTGACTCCAAAATGCAAGCTCCTTCCCTACCCCAAACTACCTCTAATCAGCATCACCCCTCTCCAGGCTTGGGGGAAGGCGGATTACATACGTATGAATTTCCACATATATATGATAAAAGGAAGCCATGCCTGCTGTTTCAGTGAGTTGGAAGAACAAGCTGCTTTCTTCACAGGTAAACAGTGCAGAGGAACTTGACAGACTGTCTCTCAGCCTGAGATTCTGGTGGTGAAAAGGAACTGCTTACACCTCCTCGCCTTACCCCAAATACTGCCAAGATCTTTGGGATATTTTTGACTTTCTGGCTGGCAATTCCATTCCTATGCCAAAGCTGTCACTCTCAGTACAGATGTACTTCGTATCTGCCCTGATAAGATCAGTGCTCCACTCCCTGAAGGAAATAAAATAATTGTCTGACAATGCCTCTCCCCAGAAGGGCCTCTCAGTCCAGGAAGTGTCAGTCACCAGGCTTCACACCACAGCTCCACTAGGGCTTAGATGACTGGCATTCCTCACTGGTTATTATTAGTGACCGGATAAACCTGCCAAGGAGGGGGAGGCCGCAGAGAGAGGAAGTACTCTATCCTATTCCATGTCGTACCTTAGAAGATAAAGAAAACACCAATACTATTTTAAAGATATCCACTCCTCTCTTTTCCTTAAACGACTATGTTTGTTTCTGGTGTTTTCAAACAAATATTAAATTTCTTTGGCACCTAATATGCAGGTGCACTGAGTATATGTTTTAGTTTATTACCTGGAAATCAAGAAAAGTGACCTCCCACAGGCTTGCCATATCGTCCCAGTTGTCCCATTCGCTGGGCAGCAAGAGGGTGTCATACTGCTTCAGGCTGCTGACACGCTGGCAGTGGTAGGAGTAACCCAATGGAGCGTATATGCCAGATGCATTAAAAGTTGCTTGGATTGAATTGTTCAGAATAATCTCGATTCGGTGCAAGCTAAACCAACTATGGATGGACAACTTGTTGTAACTGGTAAGGATGAATCTGAAAATGATTATAGAACAGCATTACCCCCAAAGCACTGTGATTCCATTTACTGGTGCAGGACGTCTATGAACAGTACAATGGCGCCCTCTTTTGTCAGGTGGCAGAACTAGGGAATAGGTTTCACTTTGGTTCCAAACACGAGCCTCCTCCAGGTGGGAGGGAAAGAAAGCAAGTAACAGGAAAGCCCTAAAAGTGAGCAATACAGATGCCTATAAAAGAAAAAACACAAAAATCTTGTATTTTCCTTCTTATAATCAACGTTTGATTATGTGTGTATTATTGCAAAAAAAATGAAGAAAAACTTAAATGGACATCAATATAGAATTAGCCAAATTACAGTTTAAAGTAATAATAACAGGAGCTGGCTAGTTAGCTCAGTTCGTGAGAGCACCACCTTATAACACCATGGTTAAGGGTTCAGATCTCTGTGCTAGATAGCCAACAAAAACCAACCAAAAAATTAAAATAAAATCATAGTAATAGCTTTCTTACTACGTGTCACTCATCCTGCTATGTCATTTGTGTGTATTTTATTTAATCTTCCCTACAACACCGTGAGATAGATAATATCATTATCTTCATTTCACAGATGAGGAACCTAAGACACAGAGAGGTTAGATGACTCACGCGAGCTCACTCAGAGTCAGTATTGGAGCTAGGCTTCAAATCCAATCTGAGACCAGAGCCCTTACTATTAACCACATGGGAATAATATATTCTCCAGCCATGAAAAAGTTATAATGTATTTATATCATGATCACTTTTTTTCATTTAAAAAAATGAAATGTGAGACTGCATAGAAAAAAAAGAGTCTGAAAGGGTAGAGATCAAAACATTAATAGTGATTACAAATGGTGCTTGGATTATTGGTTATTTTCATTTTCTTTTTATACCTCAATATTTTCTAATTATTCTGTTTTCAATGATTTTTCTTGTCTTAGTTTGGACTCCTTTGGAAGCAGACCCTGAAACAAGGATGTGAATACAAGAAATATTTTGGAGAATTTAGTCATTTCAAATATGTAGAGTAGAAAAAAGACAAACCACAGTGAAGGCAAGGAAGCCAAAAATTGTGCATTATTAAGCAAGTTACCACTGTGGACAAGTGGGGCTTAATACCCAGGGGGAACCTGGGAGCCAGGGTAGAACACAATCTTCTGAGTTATCTCACCCAGGGAGAGGGAGCTGGGGTGTTTATACAATTCCTTCAGTCACTGGTTGAGGGCTGCTGGGCTAGGGATGACAGGCAGTAGCCCCTGTGACCAGAGAAAACTTTTAGGCAAAGGGAGGCTGGCAGGTGAAAGTTGAGTAGGTGGTCTATAGTGCTCCCAAATGGAAAAGCCCAAGTAGATAGAGATGGGGCACATATCTTTATTGTCAGAAAATAATAATGATAATAATAAAGCTATTTTCCATTTGCAAAAAAAAGTGCTATTACAGATCAAAAATATTGCCCATTTCTAGATCAAACAGATACAGGTATATATTTGTTCACCTCATGGGATTCTATTTCCTTATGAAGTTGTTCTGAAAGATGATGGCATGAATTTTCTAAATTATGATCAGTGATACACTAGTGGCCCATGATATGTATGCAAGTGTTATGAGGAAGAAATCTTTCTAAGGTTAAACATAGGAAACGCTAGGTTAATCAAAGTTAAAAGCTGAACAGTCTTCCTTAAGAGCATATCATCTCAGAAACCTTAATATACAAATTTACATCATAAATCTCCAAGAGGAAGACATGGTGTATAGCTGTTCCCAAACACAATTAACCTCAGATCCCCTTTTCTGTAGAATCTTATAAATATTTTCACAGAGCAGAGTGTTCCACAAAGCACAGCTTAGAAAAGACTACTCTAGCACATCTGCTGGTTTTCCAGCTATGTTAAAGATGCGACCACTCATCTCCACTAAAAGGTTTGTCCTATAGGAAGGGAAACATTATATTTTTATAAGAAAAAAATGTAATGCCTTCAAACTGTCTTTTTCCCCAAGAGCTGTTTCCACCTGCTTGGATAAACCATTGTTGGCAAATGCGTCCTTCTGTACGTAAACACAGAAAAATGTAGGGCTGTGGATTGTCTGCTGGAGAATTCAGATAACAGACACTCATTGTAGTTAAATGCTAAGTGTGTTTCATTGTAAGGAGCTATACAAAATAACTTCAAACCAGAGCCTCGGCCCTTGGAGCTTATATTTTATTCCTTGTTCAGAGGAAAAGAGTATCACATTTTCAGGTTTATGTGTCCTTTAAGTCTGTAATGGGAGTGTGGGGGACAAGGATTATAGGTGTTTGGGTAGAAACTAAAGAAAGCATTACTACCGGATCCCATCACATAACACCACTGACTTTTCAGTGTAGTTAGGTAGATATCGAATTTGATGTGTCTAAGTGCTTGGGACATAGCAAGCCCTTGATACTCACATGTGGAATAGGTAAATTATATAGAGCTAATCTGAACTGCTGAAACTGTGATACTCCAAAGTGGTCCTACCTACCTTATATAAAGACCTTTGGAATTTTCAGTATCACCAAACTTCAGAGACAACCTAAGAAAACAGAAACAACACAGTACATCAAAATAGAAATGAGCTTTACTTCATATTATATTCAAAAAATCACCACAAAATGGATCATAGACTTAAATGTAACACCTAAAACTACAATATGTATGGAAGAAACATATAAGAACATTTTTTTGATCTTGGGGGAAACAATGGTTTCTTGATAAAACTACAAAAGCATGGACCATAAGAGAAAAAAATGATAAACTGGAACCTTACTAAAATAAAAAGAAAACTTTCATTCTTCAAAAGACACTGTTTAGAAAACAAAAAAGCAAGCCACAGAACAAGAGAAAATATTCACAACATACATACACAAAGGACTTTTATGCACAATATGATAAGTAACACTATCAACTCTATAAGAAGATAACCCAGCTTAAAAATAGTCAAAAGACTGGAACAGACACTTTATAAAAGATATTCAAATATCCATTGAGTACATGACAAGATAGCATCACTAGTCATTAGGAAAATATAAAATAAAACCACAATAAGATACCACAGTACAGCAGTCAGAATAGTTCAAACTTTTCTAAAAAACTGACTCGAACTTTTCATGCCTATATTTATTCACATTTTCTTGAAAGTAAAATTTCAAGATTTCCTGGAACAGAGACAGATTATCACTTACTCATAGGAATAATCACACTGGTTCCACTTTTAACACAATTCTTCCCCCAGGAAACCTGATGAGAGCCTGATGTCATCCTACACTTACAGGGATTTGTAGCACAAGTGAGGAACACCAAAATTATGAATCTGGTAGTTTCTACAGGAGAGAGATGCAGTTTCCTCCTCACCTCCTGAGAGAGGGAGAGAAACATTTGCTTGCTTAGTGTCAATAAATTCCCTTTTGGAAAAGAAGAAGGGAGATCCTGGGTACATACCCAGAAATGGAAGTAGAATAGTTTAATTAGCCTTTAGGTGGGAGCAAATATCTCACCATGAAGGAGACAAATGGCTGTAGATCTAATATCCATGGTGTGTAAATAGATGTCTCCAAGGCAAAACGTAAGATAAGCTTCTCTGGGTTTTCAACCCCTGGAACATCTCTGTGGTCTTGAATTTCATTACCCCTTGACATGTAAACACATTCCTTTGAAGAGGTAAATCTCTTATTAACTCAGAGGCTTATCTTTTAATCCAGGCTCCAGTAAAATTTGTTCTGCAAATTTTTTACTAATCAGTAATTTGTAAAATTACTAATCATGCAGAAACATAAAAATATTTTCTCTATGGTCTTACACTGACTATATGAAGCATTGGTTAAAATGTAAAGCAGCTAGAAATCTCATACAATGCTGGTGAAAAGGTAAAATGGTGCAACCACTGTAAAAAACAGCTTGACATTTTCTTAGAAAGTTAAACATACGCATACAATATGAGCCAGCCATTATATTCTTAGATGGAATGACCCCTAAGTAAAAATATATGCTGCTACGAAGACTTGTACATGAATGTATTTATTTTGAAAGTTATGTAAAAACTGGAGGAAGAAACAAATTTCCATCAACAGGTAAATGAATAAACAAGTTGCAATACATCCATACAATGGGGTACTCAGCCATGAAAAGGAACATGCCATTGATACATGCAACGATGTAGAAGATTATCAGAATCATTACACTAAGTGAAAAAGGCCAGATTAAAAATGAGTGCACACTACGTTAGTTAGGAGTGACCTGAGGGATGAATTACAAGGGGGCACAAGGAAACTTTGGGGCATGATGAAAATGTTTGTTGTTTTGATTGTGGTGATGGTTTCATGGGTGTTCATATACATCAGAAGTGATCAAATTGTACACTTTAATGATGTGCAGTTTATTGTACTTCGGTCATATTTCAATAAGGTTGAAAAATAGGAATAAGAAGTTAAATAAATAGTTGTAATAGAAAAACATGAGAAATTTAAATACACAAAGAAGGACGCAGCTGTTTCAAAATAATGTCTAGAAGTTCTAACACCTTGATATGCATTATTTAAAAAAGGAAAAGGAAGATAGTTACAAAATGTCCAATTACAAGCTTGAAAAATACCACACATATAATCTCATTAATTTGGTCGCACTTGTCAAGAAATAGAAATATCAGTGATTGGGCTAAATCTTGTCTTAATACTATTTATGAGGAAGGGGTGGTATTTACAAATAAACCATATAAATAAGATTGCTAAGAGAAATGTTTTTATTTCCTAACATCACCAACTTAGACTCCTTAGAAGACAACATTCACAAACACTTCATAGCCTCGTTAACTCAGTAAATCAAGTCTTCAAGAGGACCCTTCTCTAATAATATGTTGATAGCTACAAATGATGGGAAATAAAATAATAAAATGAATTTCTTTAACAACATTTTATAAATTTGACTAGTCATTTATTCTAACAGAAATTTCCCTAGCTCTTTCAAGTGTTGACCTAAAAAGAAACTGGGGCCAAACACATATAGCAAGGATTTATTGAACCAATATGGTGATTGCAACAGGGAAATGCACAGGTCAGGTCACCCTGAGAAATGCGTTCCAAAGAGGGCCAGCAGAGCCTACCATTTTATCATCACAAGAAGAGGGAAGGATTAAAGGAGAGGGAGAGAAGGATAGCCCCACCTAATTACTTCATCAGGATTTCTATTGGTGGTACCTGATCTATAGATTTGGGACTGTGACTGAGTTACATCCTATACGCAGGGATCTAGAGTAAGGGTTATAAGAAGCATTCTAGGTTATTGTATGGTTGGTACCATTAAGTCTGCTTCTAAATAAAAATGGCCTTATGATAACATTTTTCAGGACAGGTGGACGTGACTTGTGAAAATCAAATGAGGAAATGTATGTGCCCAGATCTCCCAAGGCTGACCTGGTCAGAGCAGACTTTTGGTTATCACAAACAATCATAACAGCTTGGTTACCCATAAACTGGCTGTACAGCGTAACGAACTATAGACATCAGAGCAAAGCCCTCTTGAGTCCCCATCTCCTGCTGGAGCAGCCCGGCAGTCTCCAAGCTTCTGACCCTCAAAGAGCTTTTCTCCAGCAGTCCTGGTTTCAGTGGAAGCTTGTTAATAGCTCTGCTTCTGAGTAAAGAACATGAGGTCTGATTTCAACAAAGTAAATTCAGCGATCAGTCAGCGAGGATCTTGTAAGTGCCAGACACTGTGCCAACACCAGGAACACAAAGGAGAAACACAACCTGGAGTGAGCGCTGCTCAGTAAGGAACTCTTTTTACTCTGTCAAGTGCCCTCCTCTCATATGTTTCAAACAAATTCTTAGTTCTTCAGTCTCAAATTGTCTAAATTCAAAATATACACAGACGCTGGGATTACGCTCCATTTGCAGGGCTTTCACTATTTAAAAAGACTTCTGTAGCAAATCTGTCTGCCAACAATTTGCCTCTCCCTGAACATTTTGTTTCCATGGTCATCTTTTTGTAATCATGCTTTTGACCTTACATGGTTATGTCTTCGTTTGGGTGTATTCTTTCAGCAACTCCCACTCTGGTTCTTGAGAACATAAGATTTCCTTGCCAGCACAGCAAAGGCACCTCGCTGATTCACAGGACCAAATCTTAGCATCTTGTCCTTGACCTCACCTCCAGGGAAGCCTCCTGCTCACCCTCTTTGGATGGGCTGTCTGGGATGCTTGCACACTCACCTGAGCAGGACTCCAGGTGGCAGATGCATATGCTCAGGGCTCACACCTGAGTAGAATTCTAAGGCGGTAACCAAGAAAACAGAAAGTCAGGTCAGCCCCAATCTTCAATTTGTGTACTGTGAAAACCAAAGCTTGTGAGGCCTTTCCACCAGGTGATTAGACACTATTTCTCTCTAGTTATCACTAGTATGTTAGGAAGGAAGAGAATACTACTCCTTTGAATAGTACTTGACAGGTTTTCAAAGTGCTTACACATACATTTCCTCATTTGATTTTCACAACCCTGTGAGATAGAGCCAAGAGAGAGGAGGTAAAATGTCATTTTTAAAGACATTTTAGAGCCGAGCTCTATTAACATACAAGCTGCCTGACATAGGAAGTTTCCTAACCTCTTTGAGCCTTGATTTCCTGGAACGCCTGGAACAGGGATGATAACAGTCCCAGTGACTCGGAGAGTTCTTGTGAAGAGTAACAGATACAGGGTCTGGAAGACCTTGCCCAGCGCCTGGCCCATGGTAAATACTTAGGCCTGTTAGCTACAATGAATAGATGCCATCATCTCCATCTGACATATGATGACCCTACAGGTCCTGTGTGTAAAGTCCCCAAGTTCACTGGCAGAAGTGGGCCTAGGAGCCAGGTTTTCATTCTTTCCATCTCTAGGTTCCCAGTAATCACTAAGGTCTCTGAAGCCCAGCAAGAAGTAGTAGTTCTGATTTTCCCCCCAAATACTCTAGAGCCAGGATAAATGGAATCGAGGTGGGCCAGTCAGCCACAGACAGGTGAGATTATCCCAAGGCCATCAGCCTTTCTCCATACAACTGACCACAAATAAAGAGCCCTGTAGGGAATTCATTAGAGCCCAAAGAAAAAGTCCTGAATGCTCAGCAGTGCTGGAGTCTCTTTGGCAGTTGTTGATAGCCATGCTATAACAGGATAAACAAACCTGGGAGGACTCTGGATGCTGACACTTAAAATTCCCTAAATCCCTAACAAGAGATAGTCATTCTGAATGGCAAGATACTTATTAAGACTTGTAACATGACTTTTAAGTGTATATTAATATAATCCATTTTTACCCATCATCAGGAATTTTTAAATGAGGAGTAAAGTTCAGGAATAGAAAAATGTTTCCAGCCAAAGTATATAAAGTGTAAAAAGAGTACACACATACACACACAATGTGTTACGGCTTATACAAAGCATCCTACCCATCTAAGCCAGCCCAGAACAAATGCAGAAAATCTTCCAAAAGCATCCATTATACCAGCAAATGTTGAAAAGGAGGTTTACAGAAAGCAAGTGGGACATGCCAGATTTCTTCCACAGACCAAAACAAATAAAAGAAAAAATTTTTGCTTGGATGACTGAAAAGCAGAAAAAGGCATCAGAAATCAATTTGCTCTTTGAAAGAGATATTTGTTCAATCTGCTTATTTCAAATCAAAACTCACTATTCTAATCATTTTGAAATGTTCCAAAGAATTCTCCAAAATTTGGCCATTCAAAGGTACATTTCACATTTGCAAACAGGCAGTGTTCCACAATTTCAGAAATACACCTCCCTCCCCCAAATCAAGCACCTGTCTTGGCTAGTTTTTCACCCCCTAGGATATATATGACTCACTGGGATATGTAACTTCTTCCCTGGTGGGACAAATGTAGTTTGACACCTAACATTGGGAGTTGAGACCAAGCTTGGAATCCTTTTCTCTCCTTTCAGTATGTCTTTAGGAATCCTCATTTTCAGAATCCTTATTTTTCACTAGTTATTGTGACAATTAGCTAAGGATTCAGAAAAAAATTTCCGGGAGAAAAGAATAACAGTTTTTCAAAGTTAATTTCTGACATGTTCTTTCATTTCAGACATTAAACATTTCCTCAAATAGGTATGTCAGAATCATAGACAAAGAGCCTACTTTTCTTTCCTGAAATGACAAAAAACTGGATCTGCACAGTTAACAGGCTGCAATGGTCCTAAGGGCTTTCTCATGCAAGAGAGATCAACTTACATGGCGCTCTCTTCACTGCAATTTGAGTTGCCAGTGTCCACCGTTGTCTTCCAGCCAAATGCTTCATCTGCAAGGTCCAGCCAGGTCTGATTCTTAAATTTAATTGTGATTCTTTTGGCCCAGAAGAGAATGCAGGGAATGCCATTGACAGAGACGTTAACTGGGCTCTGATGGCTATATACATTCCAAGGTTCTCTTTCTAAATGTCCTTCTTTGCTCATATTGTAGTTGAGAGCCTAATTAAAAATAAATACAAGAAATTTAAGAGATGAATTTGTGTCCATGGTAGAAAAAGCTTCCTAGAAGTAAAAAGGCTAATTCACATCCTGTAATAGTGGATACATATCATTATACATTTATTAAAACCCATAAAATGTACAACACAAAAAGTGAACTTTTTGTGTACAACACAAAGAGTAATTACTCCAGCATAAATACAGATAAAAGAAAAATTAGTTAACAGGGAGCAGCAACCCAAGCTCACCGATAACCAAAGATAAACTGTTACTATAGTGATCCTGTCCCGAAAGCAACAAAAGTAAATCTGAACATTGTACTGAAAGCATGAGAACAAGTAAAATTAAGTACCTTAGGTTTTTCTCAACTATAAGGTTACCATAATACCTTTCCCCACCCAAAGTTCAAGCAATGATATGTTCATCACTAATAGAATTATTATTTATATTTTCACAGTAGCTCTGATGTAACTAAAATGTGTTTAAATTTTTTTTAATAGATTACAATCTAGTTTCCTGACATATCCATACCTGTGTGATTGGTTTTGTTGTGAAATTCTGGACTGGTTTCATATCTTCATTGTTCTGTTGATCTGTCAAATAAATAATGATGTAAGTTCCAAGGCTAAATGGCATCAGTTTATTAATATAATTGAGTGACAATGATATGCTAAGCACTGTGAAATATATCAGGCTTCAATGTCTTTTGGCTCATAATTTGGAATATACAAGTTTAAAAGATTTTCCCCTGAGCGACTCCTGGTACAAGCACCAGTGGTCAGGGAAATCAATCACAGATAAAGCCCTTCTTCAAATCCCCCCCACCCCCCACCACCAAAATCATAAGGGCAATTACAAGTCTTACCACTCTTTACAACCAGTTCTTTATTGGAAGACGTTGGAGAACTGAAATTGGAAAACAACAACAAAAAAATAAAAAGATGTCAAACAAATATCTACAATCAGATTTGACGTGAAGCTTAAAGAAGTGTATTTCAGTTAATTACATCTCACAGTTGAGAAACAGAACCTTAGTCTGTCAAAACTGCCCATTTTTTAATAGTAATTTTCCAATTTAAAAAGTATATGTTTTTCAGAGAAAATATGGAAAATATAGAAAAATTTCCTGATCCTTATCTATTGAATAATATTATGGAGAGCCTACTATCTGCTAAGCAGTGTGCTAGACACTGAGGTTTAACCAATAATAAATAACCAAATAATAAAACATAATAGAATATTTTAAAGTAAAATTTAATACTACATTGCATTATTACAATACATTGCATTATTAAAGCAAAAAATCCAACCCTTATTATTAGAAAAAAAAGACTCAATTGCCAAAAAGGTATTTCTGAAAATTATGAGAATATAAATTATGATATATATACTTTCAGTCTCTGTATACACACACAAACACAAATACACATACGCCACATACATAGATAATTTACTTTTTATAAAATTTAAAAACAGATTTTTGTGAAAATACTGCAATTTTTTTTACTTAAAAATATATCACAAATATTTTCCCATTATTATATATTTTCTAACACAATATTGAATGCCATGTGGTATTACATCATAAAAATGTACCATAATGTATTTAACCAAATTCCTAGTCTTAAGTATTTAAGTTGTTTCCAATTTTGTGGTATTATAAGAATACTGCATTGAATGTTAGTGTGGAATGTTTCTTAAGATAAATTCCTAGAAGTGAACTGGCTAAATTAGAAGATATATATTTTTAATCACAAAAATTTCAGGCATACACAGATATAAACAGAAAAATATAATAAGCCCTCCATATATCTGTACCCATCACTGAGCTTTAGTAACTATTAAGTCATAATCAATCTTGTTTCATCTAAAAGATCACCTACCCCCTCTGATATTATTTTGAAGAAAATATCAGGAGTCATATTATTTCAGTATGTATCTCTAAAATATAAAGACCTTTAAATAACAGAAAATATTGATAATTATTTAACATTAAATATTCTGTCAGTGTTCAAATCTCCAATTGTGTCATAAATGTCCTAAATATTTTAACGGTTTGCTCGTAGCACATTTTAAGTTTGTTTGTTTGTTTGTTTTTTTTGTCTTTTTTCATGTCCGGCAACGGACCGCAACCCTCAGTGTTGCGCCCGTACCAGACCGGGACCGGCAACGGGATCGCAACCCTCGGTGTTGCTCCCACGCCTCGCTCAGCCAGTGAGCGGGAACCGGTCTGTATGTGGGATCTGAACCCTCAGCGGGAGCGCCGCCGCACTTCCCAAGCGGCGCACTGTAGCAGTGCGCCACCGGGCCGGCCCGCATTTTAAGTTTTTTAAAAGTTGTATCTGTAGTATACGAGAATGTAAATCAAGCTCTATACTCAAAAATTCCTATCTAAAGCCTATATGTATCATTATCATATAAACTCAACATTTTTACAATTAGAGAGAGATACATATTATATGTCATGATATGTATGCAGAACATAATTATAGCTGAAGAGTTACTAAGTCTATATCATATTAAAGTGCTTTAGAATTAATTATATGGAACCAATTACAAATTAAATGCACCGTGTTCTTTGTAATATGATTTCCATTATCTAATGAGAATTTCTGAAGATGACAAATTGATGACTATGATGTCTACTAGTTGCTATTAATAAATTCATGCATGTATGCAATTATTCATTCATTTTTATCCATTTTACTGAGATATAGTTTATGTGCAGCAAATTTCATCCATGCAAAGTAAACAATTCTATGAGTTTTGGCACAGGCACAAACCCATGACACCACTACCACAATAAAGATACAGAATATTTATATCTCCCACAAAAGTTTCCCCATGCATTTTTCAGTAGAGAAGTGTTCCCTCCACCCTCAGCCCCAGTCGGCTACTGACTTGCTTTCTGTCAATTTAGAATAGTTAGAATTTTCTAGAATCGTATATAAATAAAATCATATAACATATATTATTTAATGTTTGGCTTCTTTCAGTCTTAATATAATGGCTTTGAAATTCATGTATGTTGTTGTATGCATCAATGGTTCATTTTATTGCTAAGAAATATTTCATTGTATAACTATACCACATTTTATTTGTCTATGTACATATTTATGGACATTTAGGGTATTTCCAGTTTGGGGCTACTACAAAAAAATTTGAGAATATTCGTGTATAGGAGGAGTTTGTGTGGAATATGTTTTTGTTTCTCTTGAATAAATACCCAGGTACGGAATGACTAAGTCATATAATGGAAGTATGTTTAACTTCTTTAAAAACTGCCAATGCACTTCAGTGTGTGGGTTTTCCTGTTGTTCAACACTCTTGCTAACATTTGGTATTATCAATCTAAGTTTAGCCATAATAATGAGTATGGGTTGCTATCTCATTGTGATTTCAATTTTCATTTCCCTGATGACTAATAATGTTGAGCTCTTTTCTTGTGCCTATTGACCACTCATATATTTTCTTTTGTGAAGTGTATGCTTAAATCTTTTTCTCACTTTAAAATTTAAACTCAGTGACCTCTTTTGATTGAGTTGTAAGAGTGCTTTATATGTTCTGGATACACATCCTTTGTCAGCTATATGCATTGGAAATATTTTCTTCCATTCTATGTCTTGCTTTTTCATTTTCTTAATGGTGGTTTTCAAAAAGCAAAAGTTCTAACTTCCATAAAATCCAGTGTATTTGTTTTTTTCTCTTATGGTCTACACTTTTTGTGTCTAAAAGAAATATTTGCCTACCACCAAGTCGTGAAGATTTTTCTCTTGTGTTTTTCTAAAAGTTTTAAAATTTCAGCTTTTACATTTAGGTCTATGATCCATTTTGAGTTGATTTTTGTGATCTAAGGTACTTATAACATTTTGGAGACAAGGATAAAGAAAATATCCTGTTAGCTTCCAGAAATAAAAATAAAACAAGAATCGTGCAAGGATTCAGAAAATATAACTCTCACACCCTTTCACAGAAGCTAATGAAAGACATGCTCCTGCAAAATACAGGAGAAAACTAAGAAAGAGGAAAGCATATGCTCTAATAAATAGTAGACCTAACTCAGAAATGTGATGAAGAAAAACCTAAGAATGACTGTTGTACACCAGACCTAGAGAGAATCAATCCAGACTGGAGCAAGAGGACAAAAGGAAGATCTAGAAGGAGACCTAAATTTAGCTAAAAGGGGAATATAAGAGACTACACTACCTGTTAGATGAGGGAATATGGGAAAAGAATTAATAAGATACATATTTTTAAAATTGCAACTAAAAAGGCAATTTTTAACTCAAGAGAAAAGACTTGTACAAAAAAGAAACATAATTACAGTATACTAACTGGCTTGTCAAGTAGTCAAACTGATGCAAGTGTGGATTTAACTGAAAGTAGTAATGTAGCTACATTGGAGGGGTGAGGAATGAAGGAAAGAAAAGTGACAACATTGTTGGAAAAACTTTGTCATAATAAAAGAAACTTGTTAGACAATGTCTAAAATGTACAAATTGAGAAAGTGACTATGCTTATTATTTATATATTATGGCAGTGTGGTGGATTGTATAATTGTTCTCAACTCTTTGCTGCCTTCTCAATAGGATTTTGCCTTCCCCTTGACCATATGACTTGCAGTTCCTCCTTGTGGGTGGAGAACACTTCCTGCCCCATTGTCAGGCTTTGTTATATGTCTTGATTGGGCCAATGAAATATAAGCAGAAGCAATAGTGTGCCAGTTCTGCTCAGAAGCTTTGCAAATGTCTGCGTGTGTTTGCCATCGCTTGCCTTCTTTCCTCTGTTTTCAGAATGGCATACCCAAATAGGGGTTACCTTTCAGTCTAAGTGGGTCTCAGAATGAGAAAACATGGGAAACAGAGTCACAGCAGGGTCAGTGTGTTTGCCATCGCTTGCCTTCTTTCCTCTGTTTTCAGAATGGCATACCCAAATAGGGGTTGCCTTTCAGTCTAAGTGGGTCTCAGAATGAGAAAACATGGGAAACAGAGTCACAGCAGGGTCATAGTAGCCCACCTATAGCTGTCAACATGTAACATGAGCAAGAAATAAATGTTTGAGGCTGTAAGATTCTGTAATGTGAGGACTATTTGTTAGTAGAGAAAATCTGACTTATACAAGTAGTAACCAACAGAAGAAACAAGTAAAAATTTGAAAATGGTTGCTTAAAGAAGTAGAAGACAGTTTTTTTAAAATGTAATGTTTCTTGTTACTTTTTATTTTGTAGAAACTACATTCATATATTACTTCGATATATTTTTTTTTAATTTAATCTTTTTTTTTTAAAGATGCCTTCCTTTAAAAATTTGTAAATCAGCATTCTGGTTTATATTAATTCTCTTCTGAGTGAAGTTAGCATGAATCAGTCCTCTGAGCACAATCAGAGGACAAAGAAATGTAACTTCCTGAGCAGCAAAAGTGAGGCTCCCATCAAAGAAATCATGAAACTACAACAAAGATGTACTTTAGCCAAAACATCTCTACCTACCTGAATTCCAAACTCTGTAATGCATGTTAAAATGTAATTGAATATATAAAAGAAGATCTGATACCTGGACAATACTTCTTGAAGGGCTCCAAGCTTTCTAATAGTATAACCACATAAATAGGTTTTTAAGATTTCCTTGATTTGCCCCCTCCACCCAGAAAAACAGGAAAGAGAGGATACCCAGGTTCCTGGGCAAGGAACCATGGGCCACAGCCCCCTCCACCCAGAAGCAGGCAAGAGTGCACAACAAAAACACCACTTCCATATAGGTGTCCCATCACAGCCACTGCCATAGCCCTGACTGCCAAAAACGTGGCTCAATGCCACAGCAGCAGCCACAGCCACTGTGCAGGTGGCCCACCAGACACCCAACTGTATTGACACAGGAAAGTCACCAGCAGAGAATGGAAAAAGAACA